AGAAAGGAGTCAGTTTATTTAAAGGGCATGTCCTCAGAGACCCAAACAAGGGCTTTGAACCTCGTTAAATTAAAAACAGCTAAGCTACCTTGTTCTAATCTGCTGTTCTGTAGTATACTATGACTCACCATTGAGCAATATGCTGTGTACACACCGCCGATTCTCATAACCAGTTTTACTAGCAGTGAAAGCGCAATAAGGGGAAAAATTAGTTTTTTTATTTTCTAATTATAAAAGACACATTTCAATATAATTGATAAAAGGATGCTGTGTTAAAGCAGAACTCCGGGCAAAAGTGTTCTTAACCCTTGCAGCGGGGCTACCACTGCACTTTGTCTAGGTGCTAAAAAAAAGTTATACTCACCCGATCCTCCGAGCTGGCTTGCTGTTAGACCAGTCCCTGGAGCCTCACTCCACCACTGCTGCAGTGGTCTAAGAATCCTTGTGTCATCATGTTCTATACACTGTGCAAAGGGACGTGAGGATGCCAAGAGACATGGCATGACTGCAGAAGAGGAGGAGGAGGTGGGTAAAGTGAGAAGGGCAGTGGGTTGTCTTGCTGTGACTGTGTGTGTGTGTGTGTGTGTGTGTGTGTGTGGAGACTCACACAGCTTAATAGCACATACAAGGGTGGCTCCATAGGACGCTGCTAGGGAAAAAATCCACTCTAAAACAGTGACCAGTGGTCAGGGGACCAGCTAATTCTGCAGGAAACCAAAACTTCTAAACATCAATGAACAGCATGCATTGTAAGTGATTCGAAATAGCTTAACGTTGTTTGACTTTAATATCACCTTAATTTCATTGTGTATTTCTTCCAGATCTGTGCAGCAATCCTGCATGAGAACTTCTGCACTTTGCCTTTGTGCAGGAGCTTCCTGTAATAAAGACTGCTCACTGCTGCTCTCTCTTCTTGTGCAGGGTGGCTGGTCTTGTCTCCACCCCCTCCTGTAATAAAGACCGGTCACTGCTGCTCTCTCTTCTTGTGCAGGGTGGCTGGTCTTGTCTCCGCCCCCTCGTGTAATAAAGACCGGTCACTGCTGCTCTCTCTCCTTGTGCAGGGTGGCTGGTCTTGTCTCCACCCCCTCCTGTAGTTATCTGCAGACAACCAGTAGTGGGTGGGGCCTGCTGGGTCCCTCCCACAGCTCTGCTCTCTGCACAGATGACGTCTCTGCAACTTTTACAAAGCAGTATTTGGTTAGGCAAATGCATTTAGTGCACACAAAGTGGTTTTATACAATTTGTGACTATAATGGAATATATTTAAATAACCATTTTTCCACCTGGAGCCCAGATTTAAGTTTGGGTGAAGGGTTAGAACATCTGTCAAGTTTGTGTTGCTGTCTGTGTCCCTGTTGAGAGATTCATCCTCTCTCTTTATTCTGGTGACCATTGACAGAGGGTAAGGTGAAATCACAAATTTTAGGGTTGTCTCCAGGACAGAAAGTAAGAGCAAATCTTTCAATGGTGACACCTGTTCCAGTGACAACTGTATAGGAGGGGAAAAACTTGTATGCACTTTTGTTCTATAATATAGCAAAACGTAAAAGCTTTATTTAATGGTGCTCTCATGTGAATGATTTTTATCTGATTTGATAGAGTCTCAGTGGAGTCTGGAAGAAAAACTGTCCCTCTTGAACTATAGATTCAACAAGAGAGTGCTGGTTGACATGTTCGTGTGGAATGATGATCGGGAGTCCAGCAAGCACATCATCTATGTAAGATATACATTTTAGGCTAATTATGTTTCCACGCGTCATGCGAAAGAGGTTCTCTGCATAGACTGCTTAAAGGAGAACTATGGGGTCAGGGCTTTTCCCCATAGTTCTCCTTAGGGTAACGGGAGGACACAAACTAGCGCCCTCCCGTCATCCCTGGATCCCTCCCTCCCGGTATACTGAGACGCCGCAGTCGGGACGGATCCCGACATTGCTGTCGAGATCCACCCAGCTGCGGGATTGACAGATGACTCTGCATATCCAGAGGCAGAGCCAGCTGTGCCCTCCCCCGTCCGTTCCGCCAGTCAGCGCTGGAGGATCGGACAGGGGAGGGGGGGGTCTCTGCAGGGAGCGGTGAATGACAGTCACGGCTCTCTGCAGGGATAGATCTAGAAGTGAGCGAGCGACAGTATGTGTTCCCTCACTTCCCGATCTACTGAGCCGACCTGTGACAGTTTCATTGTCACAGGTCGGCTGAGATTATGAGGCTGAGTGAAAATCACTTGCCTCATAATTCTCCTTTAACTTTACTATTGTAATGGAAGAAGGGAAGCCGTCACATAAATGTAGACCAGATATGATGGTTCTATAGGAGCTAGGCTGGTCATCCAGCACCTCACTGCTTGATGGTTAGTCAATATGTCTTGCCTTCTTTGATGACTTTGTAGGCCAAGTGACCTGGACATATGCCTGCTAAGTAGTGCAGTTGGTTGTTGTTATTATTATTATACAGGATTTATAGAGTTGCCAACAGTTTGCACAGCGCTTTACAATATAGGGCAGACATTTAAATCACAATACAATTCAAGACAAGATGGTAAGGAGGGCCCTGCCCCTGAGGGCTTACAATCTAGTTGGTTGACTTGTACCACGCTCCCACACACTTTGCTACAACACTAAGGGTTGCCATGTTGGTAGATATCAACCTATGCAACTGAGCCAACCGAAACTCTAAAGTAAGGCAAAACATCTTGGATGATCATGAGGGAGCAGGGTTTTTGAAGACCAGTCCACCTACATAGGTGCCAGAACAAAAGGTGGAGGACCCCTGTCAGCAAGTAGAAAAGTGAGCTTCTTTTGGAGGTACTCAATAGATATATGCGATGATAGAGTTTCTCATCATATGCATCAGTTGAACATCTAAAAAAAAATGCAGTTGGATGCATGTAGTATGATCACGCTGTGAGGACCATAGCGGTGGGAAAATTGACTTTTCTCTCTTTTGGCGCTTCCTCTTGAGATGCATTGGTCTACATTATCTCTTTTATTTTTAAACTGTAGATAATTAGATTTTGCCTGATGTTCAATTTCAGTAATTTAACCAGTGATAACATTGATTGCTCGGAAACAGCAGAGAATGGTGGGGGGGCCGTGGGAAAACTGGAACCTTTAACATGAATTAGTGTTTCGCCCATGCTGGGCAAGGCAACAGTTTCACTATAAAAGTAATTAGCCCGTAGCTGCTTATAGTCACCTTCCCTATACTTCTCTACCACTCCATTTGCCTGTGGAAGTGAAGGGGTATACCCAGCACTTCCAGGTATAGGGGTGCATGTGACTCATTTTCCTTTCTCTCATGTCATAGCATTGGTACTTAGTGATTAGATGCTAATGCACCAAGAATTTTCATATGGGGGTGGAGAGAGTCTTCATCCCTGGATAAGTTCTATGTTGTGACAAAGTGCTTCCTCTGTTCACTTTCACAACTTAACAGATCAGTGGGAAAACAAAGGGAAAGTAACTAAAAGTGAACTTGACTTGTATAGGCAAAGCACAGGTTCACTTCGAAAGGGGCAACTCCGATCCTTCCAGCAGGTTTTAAAGGTATGCACACAAAGCTTGGATCTCCTACTCTTGCAGCTGCAATGCATTAGATGTTGCCACACCTAGAATCCTGGGGACTGTCCAGAGGACCTCCTGAGTAATGCATAAGAAATAAAGCTGATGGCAGTGACTTCTTCTTCAGGCATGTGACATTAACAAGTACGGTGACGAGATCCAGCAACCTGAGTCCCACCTGACCCTTTGTATGTATTGCTGCCTGCATAATGGACAAACCTTGCACAGTGTCCCATGTGCCAATATGTCTTACTTCCCATTAGATCAGTCCAAGGAAGGACTCTACTGGGGGTCAGGGAAGCATTTGCCCCTGGACAGCGGTGTATTTAGGTTTCGTGCTGCCCTAGGCAAGATGAAACCCCCCCCCCCCCCATGTAAATTTGTCCAACCCCTTCCTGTTCAAGACATTTTGCGTAACCTGTCAGTCGCTAGATACAGCTTCTGACAGGTTGCGCTATTAGGGTTGCAGGTAAGCCGGGGTCTCAAGTGGGCTGTAAACGATCTCTTGGGGGGCTCTGCAGGGTCTCAGGCTGAGACCGCCAAAGTCTCTGAACAACCCACCATCGATCCTGCACAGCCCACCTGAGTACCTGCAAACCCCACCAGAGATCCCGCAGAGCCCACCATAGACCTTTCACAGCCTACCATAGACCCTGCATAGAGACTCTTAGGTGGGCTGTTCAGGATCCACAATAGGCTGTGCAGGGTCCATTTCCCTGCACACATGCTGCTCCTCTTCCCTGCAGCTCCCCAACCTGGTGCCAGGACATGCCGCGTCTTCCTCCAGCCTGGAGCCACGGAAGCTTCTTCCTCCAGCCGCCGAAGCTTCCCCCGCCGGTCAGGCCACGTCTCCCTCGGCCCCTGGCCAAGCCTCCGCCTCTTCTTTCACCTGGCAGCCCCACCAGCAGCTGCCTGATTTTGTGTGCGCCCAGTGCCGGCTTTCCTCTCTGATTTGGGTGCTGCATGTTTTGCCGCCCCCCTGCAAATTTCCCCTCCAGGCAAACGCCTTGTTTGCCTCGCAGTAAATATGCCCCTGGAACCAGTATTATCAAGATAATGCGGGGCTCAGTGGAGATACTTCACCGTTGATCAGAGTAGGACCTGAAGTTAGTTGCACATGGTGGGCCTCATAATGCTACATGCTCCCCATTCAGATCTGCAATCACAGCAACTGTCAGAGGGAAGTCTTCTAGCACCAATCTTCTTTGTGGCTCTGGGATGTCATGTGACCAAATGCCGAGAGTTGCAAAGAAAGCCGATGCTGGATATGTGTAACAGTGAACCATGTCCTTTAGGAACACCCACCCTTGACACACATTCTTTAGTCCACAGACATTTGACCATACCATGAAGGGCTAGTTGGTTGTGCCTCCCACCCCCAATGCTAAAGGTCCCCCCTGGGCCACTATCACCTATCATATCAATGTATTAGCAGTTTGCTCTTCAGTCATAGCAGTCGTCATTGCTCCTTCTACATTTGTAGAAGAAAGAAGGGCTATGCAGTGTGGTGACAGACAGCTGAGCTCATCACAGGCACATTAGTATGCCGCAGAGCAGACCGCGCACATGTACATCTGGTCTGGGTCATGCTAATGATGGAAAGCGACCACATTTATGGCTAATGTAATACTTTCCGGCTGCAATAAATAGCCATGGGAACTTTTAAACATTGCCATATGCGGAATAAAAGAACTTCTTTGAGTAGCCTATCAAGATGAAAACCGGGCAGGAAACACATAGTAAAACTGGAAACCGCAGTGCACACGGACACGGCTCGGAAGGTTTCATCATCTCTGCGGCCTGGCCATAAAAATAGACGTTTCTGCAAAAAATACAATTTTTATGTTTTCATTGTGTCCTCTCCCGTTCACACTCTTAGCGGAGGAACGTTTCTATTTATGGTTTTCTAACCAGTTTTAATGTGATTTGTCCCTTTTCTGTCGTCTGTCAGAGATTGTGTCAATGATTCTGGCGTCATCAGATGTCATCCAGATTGTGTGAATGTTCTCTCAGTGTATATTCACCCATCAGGAGGTGAAGTGAATGATAACCCGTTGTTTCTTTGTTGCCTTGTATGTCTTAGATTGACCAGCCGAGCCTGGGGATGCCCTCCCGAGATTATTACTTCAACAGCGGAAATTATCAGCGGGTACGTTACACTTTTATTTCAGAAATCTTCAGCAGCTTGTAAAACAGTCCAAGAGATCCCGGAGAAATGTCTGCAGATTGTCAGTATTCTATATCTATCTATCTATCTATGTATTCATTATCTATCTATCTATCTACCTGTCTATCTATCTACCTGTCTATCTGTCTATCTATCTATCTATCTCTCTCTCTCTCTTATCTATAGTCTCTCTCTCTCTCTCTCTCTTATCTATAGTCTCTCTCTCTCTCTATCTCTCTCTCTCTCTCTCTCTCTCTCTCTCTCTCTCTCTATCTATCTATCGCAGTGGTTCAGTCTGTGATGTGTATGATCCCTGTAAGTGTCAGTCTTTGATATGATGATACACATGAAGCAGCAGGCATTGCAGCACCCCGCAGATAATAACATACTTACACAGCCAGATTTTCCCCGTCTGGTGCTATAAATTACTGGAGCTTTGATATATCCGTGCCTGCTGGTAGTGATCCGCTGATAGAAGCCATATGTATCATAGGTTAGGAGGAAATTGTCTTCTGGGGTAATTTTACAGTTGATTGTACGGACCGGGATTATGCTTTTGATTTGCAGTTTCATCTGAACGGGGCGAATCCAGCAAAAACATCTCCATGTTCTTCCAGAGTCATCTGTGACATCCGGGTCCTGTTTCCATGCTCTGTGTTTTTCGGGTAGAAAGTCATTTAAATTTAAGTAGAACTCCTGACAAAGCCCCTTCTTTTTTTGTTTTTGTTTATAATGGAGAAGGGATAGAATGGAATCTCAGCAAAGTTATTATATTGCTGTCTGTGTCCCTGAGGGGGGAGATTTTCCTTCACTTCCTGTTGTGCCACCGAAAGGGGAAATGAGAAGAATCTCTACAGGTGGGACACAGACTGCAAAATCAGCACATTTAGACCCCACATTTAGACCCCATTCACGCTGTAGCGATTTCCAGCCAAATATCGCTCGATGTAGCTCAGTGTAGCTCGTCCAATGCATTTCAATGGAGCTGTTCACATCTCACAGCTCAATGTCGCCTGTAGCTTGTCGCTCGAACATGACCTATTTTTCCCGCTGATTTTGTGCAAGTCTGGCCCCAATAGGCTTTGATAGACTGCCAAAAGAAGTGCTACGTAGCACGACAAAACGCACTGTAGCTCAGGCTAGGTTCACACCTAGGTGACTCCTGCACGACTGCCGCGCGCTCAGGAGTCGCCAAGGTGTGAACCGATCATGCTGTGGGTGCCATTATTTTCTAATGGCACCCCAGTTGCGCCGGGCGGATAGTGCGGTTTCCCTCCGCAATTTCGCCCATGCAAGTGAACACGCTAAAAAGAGCCGCACGTCGTGTGTCGCAAAAAAAAGGTTTTTAGTGATTGCTGCGCGGATGTCACCCCATTGGAATCAATGGGGCCGCACAGCAATTGCTGTGTGCACTAGCACATGATTGTGCGGTCCCGGGACGCGCGTCCCGGGTGTTGTGCAGTGTAGTGCAGGTGTGAACCTAGCCTCAATGTAGCTCAATGACGTTGAGCTCAAATCAGCTCTGAAAAAGCTTTCTTTGATGTAGCTCAGTGTGAATGGGGTCTTATTATCATAGAAGAGGCAGAGTATCTGTTTACGGTAGTTTTTGTTGCTGCCGCTGAACATTAATTATTCAGAGAGATATCCAAGTTTATTAACAATTTTATTAGCAAAGTGGAAAAAAGTGAACAGCTAAAAGTCCTGAGTGCAGGCGGCCTTCCTGGAAGAAGGACTATTGATGTCCAGAGAGTACCAGTAGACTGGCGTCCATTGTAGGAGGAATGGATGAGGAAAAGTTGGTGTTTGCTCACACTTCCACTGTCTATGAAGAATGTGATGGAGGGATGTTCTATGTTCACAGATAAGAGAAGCCTACCTCCAGTTCATGATCACCATTGCCCGGATGGTGAGGGAAGACAAGAATATGACAAAAGACGACGCCTTTGTCCAGGAGGAAATGAGCCGCGTAATGGATTTAGAAACCGAAATTGCAAAAGTAAGTTTTTATCACCCACATCGGGCTCAGCGCTTTGCCTTGTGACCATCAGATCAATGGCATTCCATTAGCCTTCGACAACATATAATACAATCTATTGCATGTATCAGAGATAGGCAAACTGTGGCCCTCCGGGTGAGGTGAAACTACAAACCCCATTTGGCATTGCAAGACTTTGACAGCCGCAGGCATGACTCCCAGAGGCAGATGCATAATAGGATTTGTAGTTTCACCGCAGCTGGAGGGCCGGAGTTTGCTTAACTCGGCATACATTTTCTTGGTGGCCTAAATCACTGTAAAACAGTTTCAATATACTTGAACAGTAGATGAGGAGCAGGAAATCTCATGCAACCTGCAGATGCTTCTTAACCACTTCTTAACCACAAATGTGTCAGTGTGGTGGGTGGGCTTTACCTCCAGCTGTACACATATATGCATCCAGCTGGCCCACTGCTCTGTGCTAAGAGTGAGCTCACTCACACACTTCCAGCACAGTGACTATGCTGTCACCTACAGCTCCCAGTCACCACTTATGACCGGGAGCTGGTGGAATGGGCTCCTGATGGTGTAACAGCCAGTCACAGCAATGAACGGAAAGCTCACCTCTGGCTCCCATCAATTAACCCCCCCGGTGGAAGCCGGGACAAAGGGGTTAAAAAAGGTGAAAACAAAGACATAGGTGTTTTACCTGCAAAAGGATTTGTAATTCTGTCCAGCCACTTTTATCAATTATACACATCAGCCAGGCAGCACAGCCAGCACTCAACTCTGAAGTTCAGGAATATAGCGGTGTCATCTCCCAACCTGTTGTCTCCTCCAGTCAGCATGTTCCCTGTCAGCACGTATGCATGCAGTCATCTCAATTGGTTTCTTGTGCGGCCCCCCCTCCCCTTGTATGAGTGTGGCTGTGCAAGAGATGACAGGAAGCTGATACTTATACTAGCTGTAACATATGCTGTATTTCTTCATTTTTGTAAAGGAATACTAAGCCGCATCAAATGGTAGGTTTTATGTCTGCCCAGAGTTAAGTTTTAACAACAATGTCCTTGACATTGATTGACATTTTTTTCTGTCCCTGAATTTCAGGCCACATCTCCGTCCGAGGAGCGGAACGATGTCACCTTGCTGTACAATAAAATGACACTGACGGAGTTCCAGCAGAAGTTTTCGATAGAGGTATCAGAATGGACATACCACCAACATTGTCACCAATGGCGAGAAAATCACCAATGGGAATAGAGAGCTTTTGGGGGCCCAAGCTTATCCCCATTTACATAGTATTTTTATGTCTGTGTCCCCTTACTTCCTGTCCTGCTAATATGTCGTCAACGGGTCAGGAAGTGATTAGACATTTCCAAAGCAGTAAAAACAGTTCTGACCCTGGCCCGCTGTAGCAAAAATACAGTTTTGGCTGCAGATACACTGTAAAATCAAAAATATACTACACAACAACAAAAATAAAAGCTGAAATATGTGAAAACATTTTTGTGTTTAAAAGCTCAACTCCAGCTACAGAAATGTATGTATACTTGGCCAGCTTGGCCCATGGTAAGTATGTATAAATTATCCCTAAAAGGGCCACAGAGACCTTGCACACTGTATTAGCCGTATCTAACTCTATTTCAGGTCCTGGAACAACCCCTGTGCTGAGCAACATCCCATCAGCTGTTAAAACACAGCAAGTTCCTTGCACGCTCAGCACAGTGGCCCTTCAGCAAAAGTCTAATATTTTTCTCAATGAATACTAGACATTCTGTGATTGGATGAAGGGAGGTGCTGTGATGCTATTAAAAAATGCCCCACAGTGTAAATCCAATGTCAATCATGTTGTCCAGGGATGTAGATCCATCGTCATTCACATTGAACGGCACCCCAGTGACCCACCAACCTAAACACAAAGACCCGCACCAACGTTCCTCTCCAACTGGACTCCCAGCTCCCCGGCTGGCTGCTGAATGGCAACAAACCAGCAGGTATGCTGGCTGACTCCACTGACCAAATATACACATGACCACATTTGGTCAACCAGGATGCCTGTCGGTTTGTTTATAGTTAAAACGAGCCAGCATGCGGCCAGAAGTTTCCTTTAGTGCCGGTAAAATTACCTCAACTACATAAATGACTTCCGGCTGCAGCAGGAGGTGGGACAACTGGCCAGATCTGGCCATTTAGTTCCTCCATTCGGCAAACTGCAAACAGCTCCAGTTCAGGTAGAACTCATGGTCAACAATGGCTGACTGCCATTTCTTAGGGTTGTTTTTTTAATTGTCACACCCCAGTGTCCTGCCGATGAGAACACAAAGACTCACACCAACGATCTTCTCCCGCCAGACTCCTACCCGGCTGGCTGCTTAATGTCAACACACTGGTACGGATGCTGGCTGATGCCATTGACCAAATATGCTCATGACCACATATGGTCAATGATGTCACCCAGGAGGGTGACAAACTGGGGGTCAGGTGGCCGGAAGTTTCATTTAGTGCTGGGAGTAATACTGCCACCTAATAAATGGCTTCCCGGCTGTAGTAGCGGGTGGGGAAACGCCACATTTGGCCATTTAGTTCATCAATTCTGCGAATAGCTCGGGTTCAACATGGTCAACAATGGCTGCCTGGCATTTCTTAAGGTTAGATTTTTGATGGTGACCACTTTTCTGGTCAACATCAGACCTGGTGCTGTGACCAAGACTTTCATGGCAGGGATTATTTTAATGGAAGATGTTGATTGAAAATGACTTCTGAAATTACATTGACATGTTACAGCTTATGGCTCTAACATTTCCATGGCTGGGTTTACTTAAAATGAACTCTAACATTAATTTTCCTGTTTAAATATGTCTTCAGGACTTTAACTGGACCGGCTTCCTCCAAGGCGTCATGTCTTCTGTGAACATTCAGCTTCAGTCGCACGAGGAGGTAGTGGTCTACGGGGTTCCATACCTCAATCAACTTAGAACAATCATCTCCAACTACTCAGCTAGGTAATTATCCTCTCCGTGTTTAGATTTCTGTTATTTACGTAGAAGGACAATATTTACTTCCACTTCCCTCAACTAGACTCTGGAGATCGGCTTTTAATCAATGGGTGCCTTTTAATGATCCTTTGCAGCAGTCAAGTTATTTGATGGTTGACTGCAGCAGTGTGTGTACATTCTGAGTCCCTGTGTATGTGTCATGTATATTTGTATATAATGCTCAGGCATTTCTCAACACTGTAGTGTGTTGTCGGTTTACATCGAAAGCATGATTTCAGCTTTATGCAGCAGACATAGAGCCAAATGGAGAAACTCCGTAATGAGCTATAATGTAGTGTTTAGAGGCTAAAGAATACTGCACAACGTCAGGGCAGAGAAGTAAAGCTCAGGCTCCTTTTACACTTATGCACGCATTTTTTTAAATGTATTTTGCACTAAAGGTCCGCTATAAAATAAAAGACGTTTCGCTGTAGCTGCTTGCAGTGGAACTCTTGAAGATGTGCCAAAATATGGCAGGCAGAGGACAAAGATTAAGTCACCAGTATTGCCTTTGGGCTCCCAGCCTCTGATTGCTTCTACTTACTCACTTACTATGCCGTTTTCTATACTGTGTCTCTGCATGAAGGCAGCCATCTTGGTAGAGGCAGGACTTTGCTTTCCTATGTCAGAGATTCCCCCTGATGACTGCTGCTCTGGGGGAATTAAAAAGCAACAGGAGAGGTAGCAGAAGTACAGATCCACTGGATCAATACAGCAAAAGCAGGGAGATTCTTGCACTGCAGGTCCTCAGATACAGCTTCCTGTCCAGCAAGGAGAACAGTGAGCAGCACAGTAGAGATATCACCAAATCTCTCTCCAAATCTCCTGAGACTAACAGTCAGAGCCGGCAGTGCCTTAGATTATCTCACACTGTGGATGTACAGCTATGAGACTCATGTGCCTAGGCACAGGAAGTATACGGGAATCCATAGGAAGCCAGCACTCGAAACAGGACCAGTCCAATAATATCAATGTATTCCCAAAAGGTGATAAAAACAGTTACTAACAAAAACTTCTAGAAGTAGGATTTTAGGCTAAGGCAAAGCCTCACTTGGCACCGAGGTTCCATTAGCGGTAGTGGATGTATGAGAGTTGAGCTGCTCCATTTTCTGTTCATTTACAGGAAGTATACGGCTATTTTTTAGGAGGAATTTAGGACAGAAGGTAAGTTTTTCAGGATACTGCTTAGACACAATTAACATTGCTAGATCTTTCCTACACTAGATTGCTCCTGAGGTTATTTTACTATGTAAACTTTCATTAAAGTTTGTATTTTTCTTAGCAGCCTGTCATGAAAAGTTCCGTCCATGGATTATCGTCTGTGCAAACGATCTTTGGTTTATTTAAAGTTTTCTAGAGCCATTTATTGTTCTTACCCCACCAAGATCGCAGTGTTAATAGTTTTGCTTTTCCTTCCAATAACTTGTTTGTAGTTGGCATCCGAAGTCTCCGTGTTATTCCATACCCCATGGTGGGGTTAATTACAGGCAGTTTATATCAAGTTAAGGGGTCCTCTTGTTATCACACAAGTTCTGTTTATGTTCAGAGCACCGTGGCTGGGAAACAAAAACTTGAGACAACAAACACGAGGCGCATAGTTTTGTTAGCTTTCAATGATCTGTATGTATCTTTTAGGGTGCCAAATAACATAAAACAATTAAAATCTCTAATATCAGCCATTAAGGATAGCACATAACCCTAAAAAAAAAATCAAATGCCTATAGGAAGGCCTAATTATCAAAAAACGTTTAAACAGGCTTCAGAAGCATGTCTACTGTTAGATGGCCAGGGAAAATTGTTCAGTACAGAAAAGAGTAAAAGAGTAAATAACAAAACAGTTCAAAACACAAGTCTACCTTTGTAAGAAATTAATCGGGTGACAGTTCAGATTTAAAAAATGGTCCCCTGCTTATATAAAACCGTTAGCACATTTTATTGCAGAATCCTAAATTGATGACCAAGAGGGAGGTTCTGATGGAAGATGGACTATTCTTGCAGCAGAACTACATACTCCTTTATCTTTTATTGGTCTCAGGTTGTAAGGAGTGAACCTGCAAAATGAATGCTGATGGACTTTATTTTCTTCATCCTAAAGTGCGGCCAACATCAGTTAAGCTGGCCATACACCAGTAGAATTTTGCTAACGGGGGTTGAATTGATAGTTTTTGTTTTATCATAGGTGACAAAAAAAGCACAGGAGCAGGGTGGAAACCTTTTCTTGAATGAACACATTTCTAACTTTAAATGTAGTTATCATTCAGAAAACTCAAGTCATTTCCAAAATTGAATGTTAAAAGCAATCAAAATTTTGAATAACATTCGTCAACTCTGTTGCCATCATTGAATGTCCAGATGAACTTTTTCACATGAAATTTCTCATGAAGATGTACCATGGAGTACCACAAAAACATACCAATATCTGAGCAAAACACCACTGTAATATAGAGGTTTCTCGTGGCTTTTTGGGCAAACATGTGAGTCGTTATGTGTATGTGCTGTGACTTTTATTTGTTATCAGACCAATTCCAGATCTAAATTTTTCTTATTACATTTCTATACAGTTTAGCCCCTACCACCTTTTGTGGAGTGGCTACTAGAAATTTAGTGTTGCCAGAGCTGTAGTCAGTCTGGCTGAATTATTGTTGGCATTTATCTGGTTAATTCCAAGTGTTCTGTCATTGATTGTACCTGTAAAGTGTGGCTCTGCTGCAATGTGGTACAACCAATGGGGGAACATTATGAGTGTGTATTATGGCTCACCAGTCAATCACTGGGAGTTTCATGGCCAGTGGTGCATGCTGCGAGCTTGGCCCGTGGGTGGAATGCTCATCTGTGGGAAATGTTACCTAGGCCTTAAGCCTGGAGGAGGCCTTACATGTGGACCTTGGAGGGGTCAGTGACTAATTGAGGAGGAGAACCAGAGAAGCTAGATCGCTACTTAAGGTGCCTGGTAATGGAATGGACCTCAGGAGCAAGTCTGGTGTCTCTCCTACTAAAGATCTCATGCCTATCCCTGTTCAGCTGTTGCTCTAATAACCTGTGTCAGCCTGTTCTCCAATTGATTCTGCACTGTGGAAGACTGAAAGTGAACTGGTGAATATGGCACCTGTTCTGTTCTATTTTTATGCCATGGATTTCCTAAGCCCTATATCCTCTCTCCCAGTTGATGATCTACAATAAACCATTTGAAAAAGGCACTTAAAGTGACTAGCACCCAACTTTCTTTGATCATACATCCCTTCACTGGTCCAGAATCTGCCCCTGAGAACCATATGTCAGCCCTCTCCACCCTTTGGGGGTCCATGCTATCCCTCTGGGGGTCAGAGGGGCACTACACAGTGAGACATCATATCAGATACCTTACCTGATATAATGTCAGTGATAGCAAAAAGTATCAGTGAGTGACCTCAGCCTCACGAAACACAAAATCTGTCTCTTCCAGCACTTTACAGAACTACCTAGTCTGGCGATTGGTAATTGACCGAGTCAGCAGTTTGAGCAGACGCTACAAAGATGCACGGGCCAACTACAGAAAGGTAATGTGCAGCAAACATTAAAAGTAATTCTTGGTTAATGTCTTGGCTCTACCTAATAATATCATCTTACATTGCATATACTTTTCTGGAATACTCTGTTGTCTTTTGTCATCCTATAAGCTGGGAGAAACCAGGACCATTCCCACTTGCAGGGAGGGATGAGAGTAGCATAAAAGGAGGGATGAGAGTAGCATATCAGCTAAAATCTTAATACAAATGAGTAAACTAAACATGAGATTGTAGTCCATCACGGGAGCGAGCTTGGAGCCGTGACTACTTTACAACACACACAAGGACCATGGGTAACAATAGTAGCCCCCCTCCAGAAGGAAGGACAGTGTCAGCACCTATTCAGAGATGATTGGAGGATCTACAGAGAGTGATACACAAATAATCAATAAATAAAAAACGGGGATGAAGGTTTATAAATTACACTATATCACAATCAGTGGCGTATCTATGTTTTTGGCTGCCCTAGGCAAGCCAAGCTTGGGCTGCCCCCGGCACCTTACTATCATGTTTTGTGAGTCACGAACCCATCCGTCGGCTGCGCTGTCCGGCTCCATCCGTCCTCCCGCCCTCTTTACAGGCAGTCAAGCCGCCCTCTACTCCTACACACAGACTGGCTCCGGCTCGCCCCTCCTCTTCACAACATAGGCGTTTGCCCCCCAGGAAGGTGCCACCCTAGGCAAACGCCTAGTTTGCCTCATGGTAAATACGCCCCTGACTCTCCAGTTACCCTGAGGGTAACGGGAGGACGCTAGCTTGTGTCCTCCCGTTACCCTAAGGAGAACTATGGGGAAAAGCCCTAACCCCATAGTTCTCCTTTAAAGTGACAGTCAGAAGGTTTTTAAGCTAATTCAAATGCTGATGAAATGACTTCCGATGGATTCTGCTCCTTCATGTTTAAAAGTTTTACAGGGGGTTATTCACAGAAGGGTGGAGAGTTTGGGGAGGTGAGCAATCTAGGACAGCATAGCTGGTTTGGAGAACTAATTCAGCTCACTTTCCGGTTCAGCTATGTTGTCCTGGATTGTTCCCTTCTCCAGGCTTCTCCAAACCTGAAGAGACCTGTTAGTTTCCTGCAAAACCAGCTGGTCCTCCGAGCACCGGCCTTGTCACTTTCCTCCCTAGACCAAAAGGAGCAGGAAAATAACAAAGTTATACTCACCCAATCCTCAGAGCCGGTCCGCTGTGACAACATCCCCTCCTATACTGCAGCGATGGTGTCCTCACGTCCTATACACTGCATGCAGAACATGCTGATTTATGGGACCTTTGACCACTGCAGTGAAGGGGGAGCGCGGCAGAAGGGACCGGTCTAAAAGCAAGCTGTCTCCAAGGATCAGATGCTATTTTCGTCCCTAGAACAGTTAACTCTTGCAGCGCGGGGGTAGCCCCACTGCAATGGTTAATAATAATTTCCCCCCAGAGTTCTGCTTTAATGTTTGAAAATGATTTTCAATAGAACTAGCATTCATCTCTAACAACGTCATCATTCTGCAGCACTACCACACCAGGCACAAGTCCCATCCCTACGGCGCTGGTATCACCCTTATGTTTCTGTGGAAGAGCATTGCTTTATTAGAGGTAGAGTGATGTGATGTGACCAGGAAGAGTTTCTCTGTCACTCCCTCCAAAGTGTCAGTGCAGTGGAGACTTGCCTGAGGACAGGAAGAGAATGCAATGTAGGTTCTCTTCCACCCACAGAGGTAAAACCTAAAATACATTCCCGGCATACAAAAAAAAAAAATACGCCCCTGATCACAATGCAATGTCTGGTGGTGAGTCTTCTATAATAACTCAAAAAACAGTATTTCCCCAAAACAAGGAGATCCCACCACCACTTCAAATGTACAACAGTATGAGTAAAAAATGTGTATTTATTTGCTAATTATAAATATCTAGATGTAAACATTTATCACATATATATCAAATACAAAAAACATACAGCAAACATGAAGACTGCACTCGGTCGGAGTGTGTAATTCAAGTAGAGACAGGTAAGGTGATCAGTACACCCCTTGAATGAACAGATTCTATGAAAAATGACCCCAAACAAAAATGTCTCCAAAAATGAATGAATGAAGGAGCTTGTACTCTGACAAATGATGACTCAACCGCACAGTGTGCGTGAAGAAAAACTTCAAAGATGGAAATCAATCCTAGTCAAAGGAATATACTGCATATGTGGCACTCACAGTAATACTGCTAGATCGTCCATTTGGAGTTGTCCACTGTTGCACATCCATGGGTATAAAAAGCAATGTAATCAACTTGGGTATCTTGACAAGAAACTTTCAATGATATGGCTATCCTCATATGGAATGTGTTGTTTCACGAAAAGAAATTCATGTGGGCTCCAATCCGCAAGTGCAAACAGAGTACCTGCACTTGTGTGGGTTTTGTGTTAGCGGGTGTCCGTAGTGAGTGCCATGGAAGAGCATCAGTTGGTTTCAATCGTGATGTAGTAAGCTCAAGTGCCAGTCAAATGGCCAAAATGAGGTACTCAAATGGATTTCTTTGTCTATGGATATAGATTGTCATTTCAAATAAAGGGTGTACATGGCCGAAGTTTTTCTTCACGCACACTGTGCGGTTGAGTCATCATTTGTCAGAGTACAAGCTCCTTCATTCATTCATTTTTGGAGACATTTTTGTTTGGGGTCATTTTTCATAGAATCTGTTCATTCAAGGGGTGTACTGATCACCTTACCTGTCTCTACTTGAATTACACACTCCGACCGAGTGCAGTCTTCATGTTTGCTGTATGTTTTTTGTATTTGATATATATGTGATAAATGTTTACATCTAGATATTTATAATTAGCAAATAAATACGCTTTTTTTTTTTTACTCAAACTGTGGTACATTTGAGGTGGTGGTGGGATCTCCTTGTTTTGGGGAAATACTGTTTTTTGATACACAAATAAGATACATTTGTGTTAATAGTTGAGCTACTTGAATGTATTTTTAAGATTTACCTTCTGAGTTTAGTGTCACTTTAATAGATCAGTCAGTAGGGTGATGGATACTGCTTTTTGCAATTTTTGCACACAAGGTCAATGAGGAAATAATAAAGCAATGTGTTATTCTGGGCAGGCTCTCTATGGGACCACATTAGAGGAAGCCCGCTGGAGGGAGTGCGTCAGCTACGTCAACAGCAACATGGAGAACGCGGTCGGTGCCATGTACGTCAAGGAAACATTTGCTGGTGAGAGCAAGAGGATGGTATGTAACCTTTCTGGTATCGTCCTATCCATCTCTAAATGGTCTGCTCAAAAAAAATTACCACATCATAAATTAGTAGCTGTATTACCAAACGTTCCCGGGTTTATTGGAAACATACTGACAAACCAGTTTCTCCAGAACATTCTACAGAGCTCCAGTGCTCCCTGGTATGGAATGTTCCAGGTGCGGCCAATACTGTCTGTAATCGGGTAGATAACAGAGCACTTTATAACATATGCCGTCCTCGGTTTTGGCTTTTGTTGGAATTTTTAGTTTATTTATTGTCTGTTTCTCTGAATTTTCCAATGAAAAGTACAAAATATTCTGAGATACGGATCACCAGACGTACATCAAACTATCTCCATAACCCCAAGCTTTCAATGTGAAAGGAAAGTGGTAACTTAGAGCTGAACACCAGACAAACAGATAAATATAGCATTAAAGGAGAACTATGAGGGGAGTGCTCTTCACTCACCTCATAGTTCTAGCCGACCTGTGACAATGAGACTGTCACAGGTCGGCTCAGTAGATCGGGAGGTGAGCGAACACATCCCAGCTTCGCTCACCTCTCGATCATGTCACAGCTCTCTGCCGTGACAGGGGGAGGGGCTGGATTCCCCTCTCCCCGCTCTGATCTGCCAGCGCTGACTGGCGGAATGGACGGGGGAGGGGGCGGGTACAGCTGGCTCTGCCTCTAGATAGGCAGAGCCAGCTGTCACTCACGCAGCTGGGCGGATCCCGTCATCTACGCCGGGATCCGCTCCTGCTGCGGCGTCTCAGTATACCACGAGCCGTAGCTCATGGTATACTGAGCATAGGGTAACAGGAGGACGCTAGTTTGTGTCCTCCCGTTACCCTAAGGAGAACTATGGGGAAAAACACTGACCCCATAGTTCTCCTTTAAAGGCATGTACTGGAGCGGGTTTACCTGCTGAAGGGTTTGTCATTGAAAACTGAACTTGGGACAGATATAAAAGACACAAATTAATGCAGCTCTGTATTTATTATTGTATCAATACATATATATATAAGCAGTGTAAGTATCTGCATATGACTTTCAGTCCCTATACAGCTCAACTGGGAAAGAAAAGAAAAGTAGCACAAGGAGCTGATCAGTTATGTTATAGTGCAAAGGTGCAAAGAGCAGGCTGATAGAAGGAGATATCAGAATGACATAGAGATGAGCTCATCAGTTTGCTGCTTCTCCTTCTACTGCCCAGTCACAGGCTGGTGGAAGGACGAGACCTGTAAGTGTTATTGAACTGAGGCAGAAAAAAATAAGGGTCTTCTGTGCATCACACAGGGCTGAGCTGTGTGAACCTCAGAAATGAATGGACAGGAATACAAACCTTTAAGCAAATAAAACAGCTTCCACACATGTGTATTTGGACATTTGCCTGCAGTTCAGCTTTAAAGCAAACATGTTATCCCCACATAACAACAAAAACCTTGCTGGCAGGAAAAGACATCTTTTAATACTCCCATCCTGCTGACTGCGGTGTCATTCTCCTTTGTGTCCACAAGATACCTCCGGCTGAAAAATCTTCTTCATCTGACACTTCCTGGAGTGTCAGATTCCTGGTTCTCCCGCTGAACACTGTAGTTCCTGCCACTGTCCTCTATGGCAGAACAGGACATAATATGATCAGCGACTGAGCTTTATTTACAGCGTTATTCACAGAAGGGTGAAAAGTTTGGAGAAAGCAGGAGAAGGGAACAATCTAGGACAACATAGCTGAACTGGAAAGTGAACTGAATTGGAGAACTTTTCCAAATCAGCTATTTTTGCCTAGATTGTTCACTTCTCCTCCCTTCTCCAAACTCTTCAGGGCCCATTCACACCAATTGCTGTATGTTCCAGAGCGGCAGCTGCTGAAACGCACAGCAATCGCTCACTAAACTTCCCCCTTCGTCTGGGGCGGAAGGGGGCGTGGTGGTGCATTGAAGTCAATGGCACCACAGCCACGCCCCCCGCCCGCAGTGCAAATAGACGCATGGCAAAACATTGCCTGCAAATGCTGCATGCTCTATTTTTGCGTTCCCAGTGGACCGGAACCCAGGCAATGTTTTGCCACAAGTCCAATCGCAATGCGGACAGGGGGCATGGCTGCAGTGCCATTGACTTCAATGCACCACCACACTCCCTGCCACCCCAGGGGGAAGCTTAGTGAGCAAGTGCTGTGCTTTCCAGCAGCTGCTGCTCTGGAACGCACCGCAATTGGTGTGAATAGGCCCTCACCCTTTTGTGAATAACCCGATTAAAGTCAGACTTTAAATCCCTCTTTGCACCAGCAAAGAGTCCAACGTTGCTCTAAACTCATTAATAACATTCATCTTGACAGGTGCAACAACCGTCATCCCCGCATATGTCTCAAATTGAAGGTTATTCCCAACCACCTTGAGAACTCCAGGAAAATAAATCAATACCTAATGTAATTTCCATGTCGATCCATTCAGAAGTCATTAAAAACATTTATGAGTCAACTGGTGTAATTACTTGTCTACAAAGTAGTGGCTGCTCTGAAAGTGGATAGTTATTACATTTATATACATCATCTTGGAACCTAAAAAGTCCCGTATATAAATAAGGATTTACTACGGAACTCTATATTTGTAAAATTGTATATATTACTCCTGTAGCTTTTTCAGACCTGCACCTATAAACTGTACTCTATCAACGTGTATGACCATCTCCATAGAATAGTGTTCTTTCTCTTCTTTTCTTCTTCCAACTTTTTTAGATCAGCGAACTTATCGATAAGGTCCGTGAAGCCTTTATTGAGACCCTGGATGAACTGCAGTGGATGGACAACACGTCAAAAGAAAAAGCCAGGGAAAAGGTTAGTAAAATCAGTATTTTTTTTTAACAGGAAGCCTTCCCCTATGAAGATGACCCTCTAGTAGCCAGTAGCTGACCACATAGATAACATGATATTTAAGGGTCAGTATACCCATATGTATTTTTTGGTTTCTGGTTGATACTGGAGAATTTAGCCTTTTAGCAGTTTTTTGGGGGACTCTATTGATGAGATCTCCGTGCCCAGGTCTGTACCCCTATGCCCATTATGAAAGGTTAGATTTTTTGCTTGGTTTATATTATGGAGAATGTAACAGGCAGAGTTGGAACTCAAAGGTGGTTGGGGACACTCAAAACTCCCAGATGTGGATGAATTGATTCAGGAATTATGGCAAGGAGACCTTGTTTTTGGAGCATCCAAGACATGTAAGAAGCCCAGAGATGAATCAGTCCAGCTGGCTACATTTGTAACTACAATATCACTGCAGGGTTGAGTGATCTTTTTATTGATCCATATATGACAGGTAGGCAACTTGAGAGTTAATGGTTGTGAAAAGCCCAATCTGCAATAGGACGGGTTCAAAAGATACAGCTTATCCCACCTTAAGGAGGTTCCTCAAGAAAGTGTTAAAATCTTTCCAATTAGTCACAAAGAGAACCTGTCCAGTGATTCACAGTTTCAGCATCTACTTAGGGTGAGCAGAGGGCTGTTTGTGGTTTGAGCACCTATGTAGAACCTGTAGGCACTGCATAGAAACAGACCGGTTGTTATAGAAGGTGCCGCCATAGATACCTACTTAGTGGGGCTATTTCCACATCTGTTCAGAAACCATCCACCTTTATGAGCAAGTACAATTTGATCCTTCAACGAAGAACATCCATCTTCTCATTATTATACGCTTTGAATTAAATGATGGTATAATGTATTTATCCTTGTTGGGTTTATTTTGGTCTAGCTCTGTATATTAGGAAGTAGATGAGATAGTAATAGATGAGAACACATTGCTGCCTGTGTGGTCTTTTATATCTTAGGGAACCACTGTGATGTCCAAGACAGGTCCTGTTTTGGATGCTACAGATTCAACAAGAAGAGGAAAATAGCCCAGTCCTGGGATGGTGTACATTCTTACAATAATCAAGCATAGTGAGAAATGCTGATCTTTGATGATACTTGGTGAATGATACGAAACAGCTCAAGATAATTTACTTTATCTGTTCTAATACATAAAAGTCATCTCAACCCAGAATAACAGTTGACCCAACAAGTACAAATACCAGCCACAAGTTATGCTGATTTCAGTATTCAAAACGGGAGGAATTTTTATACGATTCGCTTGTGTGTAGTTAATCATACTTTGCTAACATGTCATTACATGTCTTTTAGGCTTTATCTATTAAAGAGCAAATTGGATATCCAGACTATATCTTGGAAGACCAGAATGACAAGCTAGACCAAGAGACAGTGACAGTAAGTATTGCAGTGGGGTGACCTGGATATAACTAGTTATGTACAAAAGCTGGTAGAACAAAGGTTTAGGTCCAAGTCCTAACACTTCTGTTGTGCGTGGGCTGCAGAAAGCAATGGATGAAAGTAGGGATGTTCAGATACCAAGTAACGTACTCGGTACAAGTACAAGTACAGATACTTTTCCAGCTCCAAGACTAGGCTAGGGAAAACCCCGAAAGTTAGAGGGCAGCTGTCATTTTTTTTTTTACTTTTCAAAGTATTTTATTGGTTTTCAATATTTTCACAAGAGAGAAATGTAACATCGGTGCATATATGATTACATACATGTATAGTGATGGCATATAAACATATGAAACAGCATGACAGGACTAACAGTCTCGGATCGGCTACCATATGTGCTGGCCATGAAATGAATAAACATAAAAATGAAACAATATTAAATATCTGTCGGGTAAATGTATGAAGTCAACGAAATCTCGTAGATCCTTGGATGGGATCGGTAGTTCTGTGTGTGAAGGTAAGAACAGTAGAGAGAAGAGAGAGAAGGAGGGAGGGGTGGGAAGAGCGCTACCAACAAGCACACTCAACATTATCCTAATTGGCTGGGGCCGGTTCGGTGAGACCTGTATCAAAGCGTCAATAGTCGTCGATCAAACGACGGAGGTAGGAGATGTGTGACCCATGGGTCTCAGAGTTTTTCGAATTTGGGCATGCAGTCCAGTATGCGGGCCGAAAAGCTTTTCGTTGTAGAACGCCCAGTGTGCAGCTGTCATTTTTAAGGAGCATACGGAGCTCCTGGGATTTATTTATTGGGCTTTAATGTTAGGGTTTAGGATCAAGTATGATGGCCATGATAAAAAGAAGCCCTCATTTACTAGGGCAGCTTGTATTCTACAGAGTAGAGATTACTTCATTTCCTTCATTTCTACTTTCTGCATAAGATATATAACACAGATTAAATCTTCTGGAATGGTGACACAACAGTGCAAGCAGACCAGCCTGCCCTTCACGGCCCTGAATTCGAAAATAGCTTTCAGCATCGCTTATTTTCTATCCTGTGATTTGCGACCATCTGACTCCATCCCTTTGATTTGCAGGAACTTAAACAGTTCTTGTGACAGCTGAGCATTTCGATAAAATGCTCATATGGTAGAAGGAAGGTCAAGGGATAATTGCGACTCTCTTCACTGGCGGAATATTACTGAGCACGTTACAAAAATAAGAGCCTGAGAAGGACATGAAAAAAGACATACACACAGCGCCGGTTATAGAAGTCAACTGCATAAAGTATTGATGTTGTTTATTTTGCCGTCTCTCCGCAGTTAGACTTCAGCGAGCAAAAATACTTTGAGAATATACTGGAGATTTTAAAATCCGGAGCACAGAAAAGCCTCAAGAAGCTCAGAGAACCCGTTGATCCGGATGCGTAAGTATTTGAACTAGAAAATAGTAGATAGATCAAGAAGAAAATAGTTTATAAACTATATAAAACGTACACAATTATTTGATGAAAGAGAATATATAGGGGTCTATTCAGGAAGCAGCCGAAGGATCAAGCCGTAGCTTCGGCTGATCCTTCGGCTAGCTTCGGCCCCAGGACCCTTTCGGTTCAGTAGAACCGAAGGGCTGTTGTACCAGCTATTCACTATAGCCCGTACAGCTCCCGAACTTGGCTGAGCAGCTCAGTCGAGCCGAATGCATTTGCCTCGGCTCGGCTGAGTCGCGCTGAAAGCCATTGGCCAGCCGACAGCCTGCTTCTGACAGCTGGGCGGAGCCAGCCGTGATCTTACGGCTGGCTGTGGCCACTTGCAGAGAGATCAACGTCCCTGGTTACCAGCTAACCAGGGACACTGTGTAACGCCTGTCTTTTGGATTGGGGTTGTGGATCGCAACTGCGGAGGCTTCTCAGGCACGAATCCCTGGTTTCACTTCCCAAATTTGACGGGGAGTTAGGGTTCTAGCATCACAGCCCAGAAATAATATAGAATAAGGTTTGATTTGGGGTTATTGCTTCATAAACCTGATCCCTCACAGTAATATCAAAGTAAGCAGAAATTGAGTAAGGATGTCACAGTACTCCGGTATGCAATTCAAGAGTCAATGCTGCATTCCCAAGTATAGTAAATGTAGGCAGGAGATGATATTGGCAATAGGATATGCAGTCTATATGGTATGGTGGAGGTGCAGCATGCACAACTACTTGCGGTTATTTGGAGAGGTGTGGAACTGGGGGTCCTGTGGTATCTGTATCCAAGATGTGCTAGCTGGCAGCAGAGGTTCAGACAGCCGAGGGGTCCCAGGAGACAGCAGGCGTTCAGTCCTCAATAGTCGAACGCCATACTGTCTCACTGGGCCGTTTTTATAGGGCTAAGACGCTGGGGGAGGAGCCGCCGATCGGAGCCGCGCACTTCCGCGTTCCACGGTGGAACGCATCCGGCACCCGAACCCAGAAGCGGATGCTTGCGCTCCACCGTGGGACGCAGGAGGCCGGGTCCGAGAAGCGGCGGAATCCCGCAACCCCCGATCCCCTGCTGAGGTCAGTCGGCGGTTGCCGTTACACACTGATCTCCAGACAGCCTAACTCTCCTGGGCGCTCCATGAGTCTCCCGCTCCCGGCCGCCCAGGAGCATGTTCGGCCGACCAGAAGCCACCCGATGTACGGCTGATTTCAGCCTGAAGTGAATAGTCAAACAGTGTTCGGCTCACTTCGCTTTAGGTCGGTCATTCCCTCGGCTGCCTATGGCAGCTTAGTGAATAGACCCCATGGTGTTTTGAATATTCTTTATTTATTATATTTAGGATTTTAAAAAATTATATACTGTGTGTGTATATATATATTAGGGATGCAACGATACCGGTTCTTCGGTATCAAGTACGAGTAAAGATATCTATCATTTGGTGCTTGCCGATACCAAAAACAGATACCGGTACGTCCGCTAACATTGAGCTGGCTTCCCGGGCAATCAGAAAGCCAGATGGCATGTCATTACCCATGCCCGGCTTCTTGATTGCCCGGGAAGCCGGCTCCATGCTATTTGTTTGGCTCAAAGCTGATTGGGTGGGAAACCGGCTGCTTCCCAGCCTGGTTTGGCCGGGGAGCCGGGTTCATGCTGTTTGGCTGGCTCAATGCTAATCAATCACCTGGCCACACAGCATGGAACTGGCTTTCCGGCCAATCAGGAAGCCATTACCTGCCGCCCAGCTTCCTGATTGACCGGAAAGCCGGTTCCATGTTCCCTCGTGGCACTGCCAGTCAAAGGAAACCTCCCCCTGACTGAAAGTTCCAGTATAAGGTATTGGAGCATTTGTGCGAGTACGTGTACTCGCCCAAATACTCAGTATCGACACCAATGCGGATACTAGTATCAGTATCAGTGCACCCCTAATATATATATATATATATATAATTTAGACTTCTTTTCACATGTTTACCAAAAAAAAAAAGCCCTCTGTTTTCAGAGATGAATAGCTCACACTCCGAGTTATACATACAACTGAATGAGTTGGAGGAATGACTCCTTGCCTTACTCCCTGTCCCTCCCTGCTCTGTTTAGACAGGGCCATGTAGCATTTAAATTGGAGACAAACAGTCTGAAGGCAAACAGCTTATGTTTTGCTGTATCTATGGAAAGACCCATAATGCTTGGTGATGCTAGTGTCATGTTCACACCCTGTATTACATTCTTTTAAAAAAAATAGCAAAAGGAAAAGATACAAAACATCCATTTAAAACCATAAAAGCTTAAGAAATATTTCAATACATTTGAGCTAAACCCAATTTTGGTGAAGTTTAAATTTTGCACCAGGTTCTGTAGTTTATGGTTACACCTTCGATATCCACATTGACCTAGCTCTAAATTGACCGGCGGTTGGAACCAAATTCATTAATTAATTACTATTAATTATTTTTACTTAGTTACTATTAATTACTATTTATTTACCGCGACATAATTGCATTTATTATTTTGGTTAAATCTAAAGGACTCCGGAAAAAAAAGCACTTGTGGGTTTAACCAATAATTTTTTGTGCGTCCTTTGTCTACATACTTTAATGCTGAAAATTGTCCCCATTTCTCATCTGGAAAGTGTATATTTTTTAGCATTTTTATCTATATATTTATCTCTTTTGCAGCTGGATCATTGGAGCAGCGGTGGCTGATGCTTTCTATTCACCGAATCGAAATCAGATCGGTAGGTGAATCTGCTATACGGAAACTGAATTTGGTTTATATAGAGGGTTAGTGACCGTGAATCATAGTTATGAGATTTGGACAAGAACCAGCCAGAGGGTAGCAGTGTTTCTGTGCGTGAAGGGAGTGCCAATTACAAAGAGCAACTGTACCTTTAACTAGACATTTAAGCTGCAGGAAAAATTTGGTTCGGTTCTGATATTTCGAAATTCGGGATTCGGATCCGAAATTCACTTCAGTTCTGGTTTCGGATTCGGACGAAATCCGAATTTTCGTTAGTTTCAGATAAGTTTACAAATATTCTCTGTAGCTAAAATAAATATCATGAAGAAGACGTGGTCAGTAGTTCCTTCTGACAAATCCTAGGTCGCTGCAAGACATAGTAGTGAGGTGCGGGCTGACAGGAGAGACCACTCAGCGTACAGAACAAGAGGTCAGGGGAAATCTTCCAATTGGCAAACCTGTTTTGGGGAGTTCCCCTCTCTTTTTCAAGATTTCCTCTCACTTCCTGTTGTTTTTCCGTGGAAGGAAGTGAAGGCAAATCTCCCCAATCACCCCAAAAGATAAACTAACAGGGGTTTTAACCCTTGCCTACCGCCTTCCCTTCAGTCTTGCACAGTTGTACCTTTTCATCTCTAGGACTAAAATTGCTTGCTCTGATTTCACTGCACGCTGTGATCTTCTCACATTGTGCTTTAGAAGCTGCAACAAATCAGATAGAGCCCGCCTCATTTCTTGACTGGAGGAGGTCCAGCATAGTCTAGCTCTTTCTTCCTTAGGTTTACTATCCCTGGTCTGCCACTTCTATTAACTGGAATCATGGTGGCTCTGCATCACATCCGGGTTTTATCTGGGGGGTCTGCATGCAAATGAAGCCTGCCTAGGAATGTCTACTCCTCCATACTGATATCCACCCATCAAGGCATTTCAATGTTTGCATTACTTCTCCCAAGAGGCAGCCCACTGCTTGCATTAGGGCTGAAGGCTCTTGGGAAGACTACTGAGGCAGGGTGCTGTGATGTTTTCAGTTATGTACAGCACCCTGCCGACCCCTCCAACCAGCCATGATCTGCCTGCAATGCAAAGATTAGCACAGCGACCTAGTGATGATGTCACTGGGTCCTAAATAAGGCATGTAATGAAAATGGAAATATTTAACTAAAAAATGTAATTAGTATGTTGATGAGAGTGGAAATGAGGAACCAGGGAAGGCTAAACATTGGCAGATTAAACTTTAGCTTTATTGAATTTGTCAAAGCCTTGGTCATTAATATAGCTCTCAAAGGACAACATGCTCACAGTTATGTCTCTTTGCAGTATTTCCAGCTGGAATTCTACAGCCTCCGTTCTTCAGCAAATACCAACCTCAAGCACTGAACTTCGGTGGAATCGGCATGGTCATCGGACACGAAATCACTCATGGATTTGATGATAACGGTAACCCAATGAGTGCTTTTCCTTTGATGATGAACACCTCATACAATCAAGACCCTAAAATGATTGAATGTAATTATTAAACACAGGCAGGAATTTTGACAAGGATGGAAACATGTTCGACTGGTGGAGTAATTATTCAGCGATGCACTTTAAGGAGCAGTCCCGCTGTATGGTTTACCAATACGGCAACTATACGTGGGAATTGGCCGGTGGACAAAATGTAAGTTCTTTTGATGTTCCCTCAGGCTTTTAAATATACAAGAGCAGTCAGAAATCACTGGTCTCAAAAATAAATAACTTTCCAGAAAATCCCCACCCTAAATATTAAAAAATTAGCACTATAAAAAACACCACTAGGGTCCTTTACAGTAACGTCATCCGACCTCACAGAGAACTCCTTTTTAATGGCCTGTGGGGGATATTCAGGAATGTAGCCCCATGACAGCACACCATCCCATGTTACTGGATCCTAGCCAATCAAACTGTGCATGAGTCCGCCAAGTTTGATTGGCCAGTTTGAGTTACTGATATGTGACATGCTTAATGCAAGGTCATAGTTGGAGACAGACTTCTGCACGGCAGAAAATTTTGTTTAGTTTCTATTCCGAAAACATTTTGTTTTCCAAATTCGGATATATTTAAATCTATTTGGATAACGTTAGGTTGTTTTAAATGCAAAACAAAACAGCATGGGGTTCCCCCTCTTCAATTCATGCTAGACCCTATAGGTCTGGTAGGAATTTTAGGGGAGGTTCCATGACAAAATAAAAATGTGCCCCACCCAAAATCGCTTACCAGACATTTAATCCAAACAGCAGCCTTGCAGAGCAGGAAAGGGGGGGGCGATCGTGCCCCCCCCCCCTGCACCATACCAGGTCACATGCCCTAAACATGGGGAGGGTGCTTTTCCAGGGAAGACCCCCTGGCAAAGCACCTTGTTCCCATGTTGATGAGGACAAGTGCCTATTCCGTACAACTCTAGCCTCGTGGTTGTGGAGACCTGCAGGCAGGGGGGCTTATCTAAATCTGGGTGCCCCTTGTTGATGAGGCCCTTGTTCTCATCAACATGGGTGAGGCACCCTCCCCATGTTGAGGGCATGTGACTTGGTATGGCGCCCTCAATTCGGATACATTCAAATTCGTTATTTGTTTCATTCGGACAAGAACGAATGCGCATGTCTATTTGGAGATAGGGTGCATAGGCACTGCTTAATAATGGAACCCCTTGTAAAGCCTCCACCCCTTGTGTAATGTTATTTTATTGCGAAAAATACTGCTGAAATGCAGAATTGGAGGTGGCATATGGTCTTCTGTATATGCTGAATTACTTTTTACTTGGACACGCAGACCCTTAACCAAGAGATAGGAGAGATGGTGTCAATGTCTTCTGGCTCCCTCACTGTCCCCTGCCCCCCTTTCCTTTACAGTTGCCTAGCTGAATTTAATGACAAATGTCCAGAGTTGGCCAGAAGAGGCAAACACAATGAAAATAAGGTTATCGCCATTTGGAAATGCTGTGGTTTGGCGCTGCTTCTTTAACCCCGCTGCCCTAGACCCTGGCCCACATGTGCTATTATGGTAAATCCAGTCCGGTTAAACTCATTACCAACTTACAATTCGGCCGCCCAAGTGTTAAGACTGACATGCATTTGCCCTTATATATCTCTATTTTCAGAATCCATCTAAAAGATGCTACAAAAGCTACACAGATTGCTTTATGTTTGTTAAATAAAATTCTGGTGGACAAAGCCTTGTCCATTGTTTTAAAAATAACCATGTTTTATGGGGTGACGACAAGTCCACTTTAAAGCCCTTGTCTCGCCTTTTCCCAGGATAGAAATCTACTGGCTATTTTTAACATTTTATTGCAGTGGCTCTATAAACCATGAAATTAAAGACAGGTTTTTATATTGCAGACAGAATGTATTATTAAAAAAAATTACACTTTTAGGTTAGCGGTATCATCACGTTGGGAGAAAATATTGCAGACAACGGAGGAGTCCGCCAAGCCTACAAGGTAAGGCAAAGCAAGGTTTTTTTTTTAGTCTGTTACTTCAGTCGGGGAAGGGTTGGAGAATGGTGGTGGTGACATTGAGATGTCACAATAATTAATGTCTGTCATGGTATTTAAAGAGCGGACATGCTTTTTAATGTGCGTTAGTTACAGTGTCAGCTTAGTGGAGCCCCCTCATCCCTCTCTCTTCTTCTCTCTCTTTCTCTCCCCAACTTTATTTGATCTAATAAAATTTTTAAAACAGATGGGTCTCTCAGAAAAAAAAATGTCCCTGTATAATGTTAAAGTGATTCTATGCTTGTCCATGCAAAGGAACAGATTCACTTTAATATACCTTTCCCCAACATACCTTCTCTTTCTTCCCCCACTTCTCCATTCAGCCACCTGGAGTGAAGGAAGCCCTAGGTAAGCTATGTACAAGGACATCCCATGTGACAATGCTGATTAGCCCAGCAGTGTCATATGAGGTGAGTCACATGCTCCTCCATACCAGAAGTATTGGTTATTTTTTTTCAGCTACCAATGCTGAATGGAGTGGTGGGGGAGTCATGTAGCTGTAATTATACACTATATGGATGCCTGACTGTTACACCTTAATCAAGAACATTAATAAATATTTGC